CCCCTGCCCCTGCCCCTGCCCCTGCCCCAGGAAACCGCTAATGTTCAGCAGAATGCTGAACCCGTCTGGGCCGCGCTTGGGCTCGCGGACGAGCCCTTGCAGGCTGAGAGCGGCAAGAAGCGCCCGGGCCGTCCCAAGAAGAACGCGGTTCCCGGAGCGGGTCCGTCCCGGAGAGGCCGGCCTCCGGGCTCCGTGAAGAGGCCCGGCCGTCCTCCCAAGGCTAAGACCGACACCGCCGAGGCTTCCGTTGGGCCGAAGAGAGGCCCGGGCCGTCCGCCCAAGAACCAGACGCAGGCGACTCCGATTCCCTTTGCTCAGCCCGCGGGTGCGGACCCCGTGGCTGAACCGGTTGCTGCCGCTGCTGATGCTGGGGCTGTGCTTGGGCCCAGGGCCCGCGGACGGCCCAAGAAGTACGCTGATGAGGTTGTTGCTGCGGGCCGAGGCAGGGGAAGGGGTCGTGGTCGCGGTGGCCGGGGACGAGGGAGAGGGCGCGGGGGATTACCTGCGCCGCCCAGACCCGGGGCTAGGCCTGTGGGCCGTCCGAAGAAGGTGATGCATATGTTTTTATCTGCTGTTGGCTGACGGTGCTTGTTATAATGTGGTTTGTTTTTCTTGTTTGTATGGTTAAGACATGGTTTTTCAACTTGTTGATGGTAATATTTTGGTGTTTTTGTGTTTTATTTTCGTGTGGGTGCTTTAAAATCTGTAGTACTAGATTGATTGCGAAACTAGTATTTATTGCATTATCATCTTTTGACTTTAATAAAATAAAATAAAATTTTTTTATTTTTATTTTTGGGGGATATTTCCTATCCGGAATTGAATTATGATGGTCTGTAAATATACAAGTTTTCAAAAATATAGTGGGCTATGTATGTAAATTACAAATGTTTTCTTGATAAAAAAAAATTTCTACTTTTTTTTTGTTTTATTTGAACCTCTTTGTCTGTTATATTGCTTATTGCATAATTTGCTTTACTGTGGAACATATGTGATTAAAATATTGGGCCTTAATGTTGCAGGGTTTTGTTTCTAAAGAAAATGGTTTTATTTTATCTTTTCTTTTGGGATATCTTTGGTTTGAGGTGATGATAAAAGTTAGAAACTGACTGTTTCGTGGTAATTTCGGTTGAAAATTTGTGACTTTTTTTTTGTTTAAACTGCAAGTATAATTTGTGGAACTATTCCGACATATGGCATTTAACGTGAGTGGATTATGCACTTTGAAAACAGGAACTTTTGTGGTAATAATGCCTGCTGAATATGTTTGAGCTTCTATTTAAATTGTGAGTATGTTTAAATGGACTGTTGTGATGTGCAGAATTTCACATGAATATCTGACAAATATTTTGTTTTGAATTATATAAATCTTTTCTTACAAGTTCTGTATTAAAATGTTTTTATGATTTAAAATTGCTTTTGTGTGTGTGTGGATGCTAAAAAAAAATCTCAGTACATAAATAGTTTAAAGCCTGTACTAGATTGATTGTGAAAATAGTATTTATTATCTTATCCTTTGTGACTTTAATAAATTCTTTTCTTTTTTCATTTTAGTTGGGTGAAATTTAACTGGAAATGAATTATAATGCTTTGTAAATAATGGCTATGCTGGTTTCATTTTTTTTTTTCAAACTTTTTATTTTTGAATCTCTGTGTCTGTTGTAATATTGCTTACTGCATTCCCGTGGACCATACTCGATTAAAAATCGTGGCTTTATGTGCCAGGGTTATTTTTTCTTTCGAAGATAATGGTTTTATTTGATGTTTTGGGGTATCTTTGGTTTGAGGTGTTGATAAGTAATAAGTAATAAGTTAATAACTGAGTATTTTGTAATAATTTTTGTTGGAAATCTGAATTTTATTTTTAAACTTTGTAGACCTGTTGTGACATGTCGAGTTTAACATGAGTGAATAATGGGCACTTAGGAAATAGGAACTTTTGCTGTCATGTCTGTCGAAGAAGCTGAGTTTATGTTTAAATTGCAAGTATACTTTGAAAGACTACTTTGACATTAAGAATTTGAGCGTCTGAAAAAGTTTATTTATGGATTATATAGAATTTTAGTACAAGCTCTAAATTTTTTAATTTAAAATTGTTTTTGTTACTAAGATATTTTTTATGTAATAAAGTTTTTAAAGCTATTACATGTATTCCTCTGTTTTTGGTTGAACTTTTAAATTACCTGATTTTTTTGCATGCCCCTTATTATTATTTTTTTTTACCTTTTATATTTTATAGAAATGGTTCTTATTTTCATTTTTTTTAACTGTTTAGGTATAGCTTCCCTGCATTGCCAATGGACCATATGAATAAAATAGTGTGGCTTTATTCACCACAAGTTTTAAAGAAATTGAAGTTATGTTTTTGAACTGTGGCATTTTTCACCTAAAATTTTATAAAGAAATTCGTTTTTTTTTCTTGGGAAAATTTCTTCAGTGAACTTTGGTTTTTGAAAATGACACTAGTAATTTAATAACCGAAGTTATTTTGTAGTAATGTCTGTTGTGCACATGTAAACTTTATGTTAAAACTGCAAGTTGATTATGTAGGAATAATATGTCATGCAGAATTTAACGAGTGAATTATGCCCTACCGTAAAAGGACTTAATGGATTATAGAATGGAAAAGTATTTAGAAATTATATATCTGAGTTTGTTCATGTTTAAAATTGTTTTTGTTCTCAATTATAGACTTGATACTTAATGCAGTTACTGTTGTATTTTAAGTTTAAATGTTTGATTTACTTTATTATTTTTAGATACCCTGCCTTTTCTGGTTTGCTTTCTAAGTTTTACAGAAAAGGAACTTTATTGATTACAGAAAAATATGTTAAAAGTTTTATATCATTTTTTTTGGTATAATTTATAGCTTCCTTTTTGTTCCAAATAAATTTTTTCTGTTGTTCCAAATAATAGTTATTGTGTTACTACTTTTGTATTTCGAATAAAGTATTTGAATTTTCTTTTAGATTTCCTACTTCTTTTGGCTTACATATATATATATATATATATCTATATATATATATATATATATTCTCTATAGATAGCAATTGTTATTAATTAATTTAGTCTACACACATCACTGTTACAACTCATCACCGACAATGCTATAATATAGCAACGGGCAGGGAGGATTGAATAGGAAACTGATTTTTTACAGGGATTAAATTAAAATATTCTTTATTTGTGTAAAAATCTAATTGAAAATAAGCATCACAAATAAGAACCAAATATATACTTTTTTCTCTTTTTTACTTTGCAAATTTATATACTCTGTTCTTATTTGCATAATCTATTGCATTGATTTTTTGGTGGGACAGGGCTCAACTTATGCTAGTACTTCACAAAATGCTGCTAATGATGATCTGAGGAGGAAACTTGAACACTTCGTAAGTTGAAATAGTGTTTAGTTTTGAATTTTCTCAATTATTTATCGTATTTTAGAATTTGTCGTATTTGACCCTATATTAATTTATTTGCAGCAATCAAAAGTGAAGGAATCTTTGGCAGTGCTTAAGCCTCATTTTAACCATGAAAGTCCAGCCACTGCAATTGCAGCTATTCAAGATTTGGAAGAACTTGGAATCATGGACCTCAATGCACCACTGAGGGATGAAACACTTCCACACCAAGAGGAGCTGCCACCACCACAGCCACCCGTGCAGCCACAGCAGCTGCAGCTACCACGGCAACAGCTTCCACCACCACCACAACAGCAGCAGCAGCCACCACAGCAAAATCTACCACCACAACAACTGCCACCACAGGCACCTATATTTCCACAAGATTTTCCTGCGTTCCATCTGCAGCCATTCCAGCAGCATCTGCAGTTCCAGCAACAGCAGCAGCCACAGCCACCACAGCTATTCCAGCCACCGCCTCAGCACCACCAACAGTTTCATCCTTAGGAATCAGGCCCACACTAGGAAGAATTACATGGTCCTCAATTTGATTATGAAGCTAGGAAGAATTACATGGTCTTCAATTTGATCATGAACAATCTGAACAAGTGTTTTAACAAGGCACATGAGGTAACAGATTTGTAAAGCGAGTAGACAGTAGCAGAACTGATTTTTCGTTGAGTGAATTGATTGTCCATTTAGTTTGTTGTTGAACACTGTTTTAGATTGACCCCTCAAGTAATTTTTAGATTTTAGAGTACTGATGATTCTGTTATTCAAGTAATATTTGTTTGACTTTGCCAGCTTTAGATTTTTAGTCACATTGTCCATGTTGGCTTCTTTCAAGTTTTTCCCCATCGGTTTTTTGTTTTTTGTTTTTTTTTTTTTTTGTGCAAATTCTCGGGCTTCTATTTCTGTAGCATTCATGCTTATGCTGAGACTATTAGCCGAGGAGCAAAATATGCCTAGATTGGTAAACTTAGAAATATATGCTTGTCAAGGTTAAGGTTAAATTTAAAGTTAAAGTCAAATCTTTTTAATGAAGGATGGTGCGATGGAAATGCAAAACATTGGATGCGTTAAATTGAAAGCACGTAATGATTGTTAGTTTTTGCAGTAGAATGGTTGCATTTGTAGATTCTTCTTGCAATTTCTGCGATTTGACTTGTTTGTTTAACAGATAGTTGCTCCTTCAATGGGACGTTCAGCCAATAGGAAGCCATTATTCTTGGCGTTTTCTTCCTCACTTGATTTATGACATTTCTGTCTAGTCACAATTCGGAGATTTGGCTACTCTGAAAAAGTAAATAATCTTAAGGTGTTTCTTTTAACGTTATGAAGTCCCAAATGCCCGTTGAATTTAGATATGAATTACTCTTTTGTTTCATTTAGCTTACATTTAAAATTTTGGCATAAAACCTTAAAAAAATATAATCAAAACATTTGATTTCATAAAATAAATTACGTGAGTTCTTACTATTTTTATAAGACTTGAAAAAATATAATTAATACATCCGATGTTATAAAATAAATTACTTAAGTTCTTTACGTGAGTTTTTAATATTTTTTTTAAACCTTTTGAATTTTCGTCAATAATTAAAGAATGTATTAATAATAGTTAAGAGTATAATAGACTTTTTTTTAATGTATTGTTATTGTAAAATAACAATCAAATTAAAAAATATAATAGATAAATCGTCAAACAAAATAGAATGTAAGGAGTAGTTTGAATTGTTATAGGAAAGTGTGTTAACAACAAAAGAAACACACATGGTATATGTTTGAATTCACTTTGAAAAACTACAAAATGGATATTTACGTGTTTCAATGTTCTAAATGACAAAGTAAATATATTTATACATTAGAAAAAATAAACGTTGGTTGTATTGAATCTAACTTTTTCTAAATTTAGAGTTTGAATATTAGTTTAAAACTACGTTCAACCAAAAAACACATACCGTGATAAAAAAAGAAGTAAAATTTTTTATTTTTTAACTTCAGTTAAGTTCAATTCAACTGATTTACAAACATTCTTAATAATCGAAGAAAAGGGTAGGTTAAATTTTAGTTCATTTATATTTTTAAAGAGCGTACATAATATCTACCTAAATTTTTTCATCAATAGCTGGTTTTTATACTATAAATGCTGGTGTTCATTTAAAAAAAAAAAAAAAACTAGATATTGAGAATAAGGTTGTCAATCGTCCATATAACAATAGTTTTTAATTTATTTTCCTACTCCTATTTCATCTTCCTCAACGATCTTGCCACAACGATGGCCCGAACGAAGAAATAAAAGCTAAAAATCCTTATAAAAAAATTGATTTAGCACGTTTTTTTTAATGTTTTGGATGATTTTTATAAATTTGATTTTCGATGATGCTAGTTTTATGAAATTCTATTATATTAGATTTTGAATGATGAAATCATATTAAATAATCTTATTGGAACAGGATTCTTTCTGTAAAGGGATACTTTTTACAACAAAAAATATATAAAAAAAAAGTAGCGGGTTTTGGTAGAAAAAAACAGAGTAACTGGTGTCTCATTGCAGAGCATTTTCTACATGATCCTACGTTTTTTTCCAGCCAAAGTTAAAATTCTATTTTTTTTTTAAGAAGCTAAAAAACTATTTTTATATTAAAAATCTATCATTAAAAATTATAGAGAAGATAAACATTGTTTGGGAAGAGACTTTGAAAAGTTTATAATTTTTTTTTACGAAGTTATAAGCTTTTTTTTTTTTTTTTTGGCCAAAATAAGTTTATTTGATATAGGAACTTATTTTAGAACCTATAGTTTATTTTTGTAAGTTGAAGTAATTTATAACTTATAAATTGTTAATTTTTTTTATCATCATTAATTTAGTTGAAATCGTTTCTGCTCCTTTTAATTTAGAAACTATTTTGTCTACATGTTACTCTTTTACTCTCTATAAAAAAAATGTCATTTATAATTAGTTAGTTTATTGATTCAATCAATTAATTTATAAATTTTCGATTTTTCCACTCCTAACTTATAGCTTATAAACTAATTTTATCAAACACACCCATAAATTGAGATATTTTCATTCATACTTCCAAGGGTTAAGGGAATATATATTTATAACTAAATAACTACAAAAGTGACCCTTTAAATATATCATCTAGTATTTAAGAAATTAATTAAAAATATAAGCTACATAATATTTTAATATCATCCTATTAATATACTTGACTTTAGGCATGGCAACGGGGCGGAGCGGGGTGGGGGCAGAGCGGGGTGGGGGCGGGGGCGGGGTTTACGGTCCCTGCTTCC